GAAAATGTGAAAATACTGCTTAGCTATTTGTTACAAATTCAATTGGGACAATTAAATTTCATTTAAATAAACTAAATAAGTCAATAACATAAATCATAATTATTTTATTTTTTCTCTCAAAAAAAAGCAAAAAAAAAATCAAAAACATATAAAAAATTCTCAAACAGAGCTAATTAAATTAGACATTTTTCAAAATTGACTCAGTAGAAACGTTCTTCCCAAACCAACCCAAAGGTCATAGGCATATTCATTCTGGGAAAATACTAGGGTAAAAGGGTGCATATTAGGGATGTTCGTGGATCGATTTTTGACGATTTGGTTTGTGATTTGGAAAAAATTGAACTCATAACCACCTACAGTGTGAGTTGCGATTTGTGCAAATAGGATTCGTAGATATACAGGCGGTTTGCGGATTGAACTTTTTCCTTTAAAAATTTATTTTTGGGCCTTTTTTTTCCGTTTTGTAAATATTTATTTTTGGCCATTTTCCCCCCATCTCATGCATTTTAAACCAGAAATAATGAATTATTATTTCAGGAAAAACATTTTTTATTTTCATAAAATTTTCAAAATTTTACAGAAGATAAAAAATTAATTCTGAGTCTAACGGTACCAACCATGCTTAAAACAAAGTTATAACGAATAAATTATGGCCAATTAACGCAATTCAGAATTAAAAACAAATAAACAGAGCCTTAGGCATAAGCAGCCAAGCCAGCCAAGCCGCCGAAGGAAAACGGCGCGGCTCAGCACCGGCTCGGAGCGGCTCGACGCACGGCTCAAACGCGGCTCGGCGCTCGGCTCCAGCACGCGGCGCGCGTGCGAGGCGCGGACGGCGTGCGCGTGGACAGCGCCGCTGACGCGCGCGTGATGGCGCATGCAGGCGCGTCAGCAGGGCATCCGGCGCGTGGGAGCGCGTGGCTGCGCGTGGGACGCGTGGAAAACGGCTCACGACGTCAGGTGGCGCGTGGTATGCACGCGCCGCCTTCCAGGGTGTTTTCTGGTCCGATTTTTGTACTGCCGGACTCCTTTTTCCAAAATAAAATCATTTATGATCTTAAAAAAGACATTAATGATCATAAAAATGAAATATTTTGGATCTCTACCTCTTTTATAAATATACACATGATAAAAGAAAGCACGAAAATACCCATCAATGGCTCTGATACTAATGTAAATCAAAACACAAAACATGCAGCGGAAAAATATCTAGATCATACCTTTAGATGATAGAACCTCGTGGGTAAATCACGTGCTTCCAGAATCCGATAAACCAACCCAGCAGTGAAGTGATATTATAAAATGAATATCACCCACACAAATCACAGTGCAAATGACTTGATCGTTGTTTTTTTTGAAGAGAGTCAGTATATGGGTAAAACTCAGATCATACGTTGTTTCTCTCATAATCACTCATAACCCATATACCAGATATATTATATGTTATTATTATCTATCCATATCAGTAATGGAGATAATATCTGTATCCTGAGTGGTTATCCTAAATAGGTTTGAATTCAATTTTAAAACCTATTTGGATAAGATTCAAATTCAAATTCAAATTCAAATTCAAATGGTCATGCCACATGGGCGCCCATTACTAACACTCAATATATCAATACCAATGTTTTGAGACATAACATAAGCAAGGGGGAAAAAAAATTGAGAATAGAGGATCCATGCCCCAAAGTACCCTGTGCTTGCTGAACAAAAAGACTAGTTTATTATTTTTGAAGCCATGAAGTTGATGCATATTTACAATTGATTGCCAATAACCAATATTGTTTTCAACCGAGACCTTTCTTACTATTTTTGGCAAACTCACCAGAAAAATCAAGCTCATACAGCCCCCAAATCAGTACCACAGAGGACAACGCAACCGGCACAGGGCCAAACATCCACAGCAACAGAGTAAAAGTGATGCAAAGCACTCGGCTACCAACAACCGCCAACAAGAACCCTCGCTCCAGTATCGTCTGTGTGTATCCAGGCGAAGAAAACTCATGATCAGCCGATGCATTGATCAAGAAAATGGCATCTGTCAAGCATCCGATGGAAATGGAGCTGCACAGGAAGCTAACCAACAGGAACAGTGATGCTGCGCCGTACTTCAGAACAAGGATGGCACCAGCCTGTGAATCGAAAAGTCTGTTGGTGAAGAGGTGACCTGCCTTGTAGGTGTTGTTGGCCAGAACTGCTAGTGACAAGTTTATGGTGATTGCTATTGAAGCAGTGAGTATTGTGGTCATTAAAGTGTTTCTCAAGCTTTGGACTGCCAGCACACTCTTCTTATCATCACCCTACACAAGAAAAATTTGCACTAGCAAATTAACAATGAGATTGGCAATAGGTGGATCAAGGATTTTAATGTAGAGGGAACGAACATATATATTAAAAAAAAATTAAATGAAAGTCTAAATTATAATATCAATTTCTACATTTATAAAAATGTACTTTGAGAGGTAGTCATAAAGAGAGAAATATTTTTAAGAACCTAGAGAGGAATATATGTTTAAAGACTCTAGATCGAGACTGTACAATTTTGGATGGTTTTTTGAAATCATAAAAGGGGCTATAGACCTCTTGCTGCCCTTCTAGGTCCATCCTTGGTGGTGTGAGAGGTGAAGTTTTGAGCATGAGACATTTACACTAGGTCCGAACTTAGCCATGAAGCCACATGGAAGAGATCTGTGTGGTAAGCATCGGAAGGGCACAAAGCCATGTGATTCAAGATGAGTGGAGATACTCATAACGATTGTTGAAAGATTCAGCCTGCAATCAAGGGATCACTCCTTAGCAATTGGGGATGTGGGCAACAAACATAGAGCCGTTGGAGAAGCAAGGGAAGTTGGAGATAGAGTAGGCTACATTTTAGTAGTAGTGCCACCATGTTCTCTGGAAGTAGTTACAGAGCTAAGAAAATAAGTCAACATAAGGTATAAATACTTGTAAAGCCAACAAAGTAACTGAGAATTAGCTATTGAATACTGCGAGCCCTTTATTGATAATTATTTAAGAAGTCCTGCTTCTCACATTGAAAGCACCGGAGCCCCTGACAATCATCCAACAATACCGGCTCAAGGTGTTTACGGTTTGTGTGTTTTGCAGGATCACTGGTGCATCACAGATATCCATCTTGTTCATACACTAGAGTGGATAATTACCATTCACAATAGGATTAATTGTGTAAGAGATTGGGGGATGCCTTACCTGTTTCATGTCCTGCAACCATGCTCTCCTCATGAATGTGTCCATGCCTATGGTGGTTAGAAAGGGCTTGTTCTTGAAGGTGTGCCAGAGGAAGGCATGGTAGCCTATTGTGAAGAATAGGCTCAAGGGGACCAATATTGTGTCCAGATAGAGAATCACTCCCATCTTTCAATTGGGGGGCATCCAATAGACTCTGAGATGGTTTGGTAGCAAAACAGGCTTTATAACACTAATCTCTCCCTTTAAACTATTTTAAGTGATTTTTTAGTGGAGTTTAGGTCATGAGGACAAGGAGACGGAAGGCACTTATCTTGGTTTTAGTAATGGGTGTCTCTATTGTGGAAAATACATATAATAGTTAATGGACAACAAGTTTACACACACATACAATATATATATTGGTAAGGAGGACATTTGAAATTATGTTTTGATTAGTCATTTAAGTACATATAATCTTTACGTTCAACTTTATATATTAAGTAATTATTGAGCCGACTAAAAATGATTTCGTAAGGGTCAAACATTTATGAGATTATAATTAATAATCTATGTTTCTTATAGTGCTTATCACATTTGTCATCTTTTTTTTTGGTTGTTTCTGAATGGCCTATCAAATAACTCTCAAGTGTTAATTAGATTATACATTAAGTTCAAACTGTGAAAATGAGGTTTAAAAGGCGCACACCCACTTTAGGCAGGTGAAATCCTCCCAAATTTGCTAAGTATCATATTAATATTCCATTGCCAGGCAAAATGATTCAATAATATGATCTAATAATGCCATTTCACAATGCTATACATCAAGAAAGTAGTAGATGATCTCATGCCAAGAGTACAAGTCTTTTGTCCCACTTTTTTGTTCCATTCTCTGTTATATATTTATCTGATATTATCACATTACTAAAAATAAATATATATAAAAAAAAAAAAAAAAAAAAAAAAAACTTTCATTTATTGTTAACTTTATTTTATTTTCTCTCTTATGATGGCATGGGTTTTGGGATTTCTGCATTGACACATGAAAGAAAGAGGTTAGAGTCAGACATTTTGATATGCCATGCCTTTATCTTTTTTAGCAGCAGCCATCAAATATTGGACCTTCTCAAATTTAATGTTGATGGTTGTTATTTTATTTTTTTTGGTTTACCTCAATTGAAAATTATGCCATGGTACTAAATCTATGCAACAGAATGGGATTGAATAAATCTATCCTCTCTTATAGTCCTGCTGCTTGGATCTCCAAACCATTACATATGTTATTGGGAAAGTTCAAAGGAACTTATCAGATAATACATCTTTGGCTCATAAATCCTACCTCGCGATTTTTTCAGCATTCAGGCATTGGCCCAAGTAAATATAACTTGCCTTCAATTTTTTTGAGTACCAAGTTTTACTAATGAGGTTTTAAATTTTCAGAAGTTCTATTATCTCTCAGAAGTTTTTCTTTATAAAAAAATAATACAGTACTAGTGTCAAGTTTTAACGAATTACTTTTTTTTTAATTGTACATATAATCTCCTGCTTCAATCCTCATTTTTTTTCTTTTTTATTTAGAATCTCTAAGAAATCAGAAAAAAATATTTTAATATTTTAAAATTCTGAGAAATCAGAATTTTACTATAAATATTGATATGTGATTTAGATTTATATAATAATGAATCTCAATCATTCAATATTTTTTTTAGATAAAATTTTTAACTGCTTAAGTTTTTTTTTTTTTTTTTTTTTTAAGAACAACTATCAAAAAAAAAAATCTGATATGGCCAAGGAGTAGTTTCCAGATACAAACAAAGCTACCCATAGAATAGAATACGGGGTCGTTTTTACTTTTCTTAAGTTAAAGTTGACACGTCACTTTTGTAAAACTGTTCCTCCTCGTTTCCTTTCCCTTCCCTTCCCTTCCCTTCCCTTCCCCCGGTCGTCAACACGCAGAGCAGACCCAGCAACAGAGAGAGAGAGATAGAGATAGAGATAGAGATGATACGGGGGGGACGCTATCGTAGTCGTAAAGGCTTGGTAGGGTTTTTAGTTTGCTCTCTCTATATACTCGATTCGATCTCACTCGTCTCTGCTTCGATTCACGAGTACCGGGACGAATCTTTCGCTACTCAGTCCAGTGTCTTCTTCTTCCATGGAGGTAGCGAAGGCCTCTACGCTTCCAACTTCCACGATTCATCTCCCAATTCTTCTGATTCTTCCTACAAACCCAAGTCTTTCATTAGGTATATTATTATTCCTCATCAAAACTTAGTATTTTTCTATTTCTCTGTCTGTGTCCGTGTTTTTGCATCATTACATGTATCTATTCATGTGTTTCTTCAAAGTTAAGAATTGGTTTATTGAAATTGGCTATTTCTTGAAGTTAGAGAGCTAATTTGACTTTGATTTTGGTGATTCGGAATTCCATTCAAGTTCGTTGTTGATCAGTCATAAAGAATTGCATTTTTCATTAACAAATGCATTGGTAATATTAAATTGGGTCAAAAAACAGACTAAAAACTCCATTTTGCAATCTTTGAACATTAATTCCTGATTATATTATTTAAAATCATAGCCTACTACATTACTTACGGCATCTCCAATTCTTACCCAAATGTTGACTCAAACTAAAGTTTTTAAGTAAAAAACAACTCAAAACACTCCTTCACTCAAACTCATACCTACCAACTTGAGTTTTACTCAAAGCTTGATGTCTTTTTCAATATTGTAAAATTATAAAGTGATTCTTGGAAATTTAACATGGAGTGGAGCAGAGTGGAGTGGAGTGGATGATCTCCTAAAGAAACTATTAAACTAGTCATGCCATAATTTCTCAAATGGGATGGGAGATTTGCTTGTTTTGACAGTTTACATGACCAATGACCATGAGTTTTTATCTTTCTTGGAGTTTTCTGCTTTTTGTGTGTGTATTAAATGTTCTTTACTTTAGTAGTAATTTGAAACTGCTGTTTCAAAAGCTTTTTATATTTTATAAAACATGGGATTTTTTGGACAATGCAAGGAAATTAAATTTGAAAGAACATCAGTTTTTCTTGAATGTGTACCTAAGGAGATAACTTCTCTTGCAAGATATGGTTATGGAGCTAATGACCAAAATTTAAAAAACTACATATCTTTCTTTGAAAGAACGGTTTAATTGGTAAGTTGTCAACTTTTTTGCCTAGGCATGTCATAATGTAAATTAATGGGTAAGAGGTTCGAATAGTACTCATGCACTTTACTTTGTAGATCCTCGCTTTAATATTTGTGCTGGATCTCACCCTTTCCTTATGAATTCCAGATTTGAAAATGTCATCTTTGTGAGGTCAAAAGAGTCCAGTGAGAAACAGAATCCGATGCAGAGTGGGACTGGATTGGTTGAAACTATTATAGTTGAGGTAAAAGACAGGGAAAGAATTGGAGGTGCTTTTCTAAAGTCTGATGCAATATGTTGCACCCCAGAACTTTCCCAGGATAAATCCTGCAAGGTAGGGGAGGTTATTATTCACAAAAACCTAGACAATCCCGAGTGGCCAAAACGCATTCAAACTTTCTTTGAAGGAACACGTCAAGAAGCTAAGATGACTCCTCAAAATGTGAAAATACAAAATACTGGAATGTACTATCTTTATTTCATGTTTTGTGATCCAGAGCTCAAGGGCACAGTAGTTCGGGGTAGAACTGTGTGGAGGAACCCAGAAGGTTATTTACCTGGGAAGATGGTCCCTATGATGACTTTCTATGGAATTGTAGCTTTAGCTTATCTTGTACTTGGCCTAATGTGGTTTTTACGGTTTGTCCAATTCTGGAAGGATATTATACAGTTGCACTACCACATTACAGCAGTAATTGCTCTTGGAATGTGTGAAACAGCTCTCTGGTATTTTGAGTATGCAAATTTAAATGCCACAGGAAGCAGACCAATGGGCATCACATTGTGGGTAGTAACCATTAGTGTTGTTAAGAAGACACTATCTCGCTTGCTTCTTTTGGTGGTTTCAATGGGCTATGGTGTGGTGAAGCCTACCCTTGGTGGTGTAACCTCAAGAGTACTTCTTCTTGGTATGATATATTTTGTAGCTTCAGAGGCTCTTGACCTTGTCGAGCATTTGGGGAACATCAATGACTTCTCTGGAAAAGCTAAGATATATTTGGTGCTTCCTGTTGCTTTTTTGGATTCGTGGTTTATATTGTGGATTTTCTCTGCATTGTCCAAAACATTAGAAAAACTTCAGGTAATTTTTCTGTTTCAAAATCCTCTTTTCCTATTTCCAACCACAAACTTCTGTACGAACACTGGAATTTCTCAATTTGTCTTCAGCATATGTACCGTAAGACTAGACGGATTATACTATTTAATAACACAATAGGATGATTGTTGGTCCCATTAAATTTCATGTAGTCGGGCTTATTATTTGTTCTGTTCATCTACTAAGGCCTCGTTTGGCAAGAGGCTATTTTAGCCAATTAGCTAAAAAGTTACTAAATTAGCCAAAAAGTCAACAACCCATACCAAAAAGTCAAAGATTCTCTTTTCTCTCTACTTTTTGCACATCTTTTCGTAATTAGCCAAAAAGTCATCCCAAACATACAAGTTTTTTTTACCTACCTTTTTATAGCCAAAAAGTTACTAAATTAGCCTGTTCCCAAACGAGGCCTAAACATGACTCGATAGGTTTTGTGTGTGCATGTGTCATTAGACATTAATTACATATTATGCATGAATTGATGTATGTGTGCTGTGAATTTGTGTTTGTGGGTGTGATTGATAGACAAATGAATGAATGGATCTACAACCTTACTTTTGTGATGAATCTCTTTAAACTCATCAAGTTAAGCCAATTTTTCATATAATTGGTGTAATGCATGACCTAGCCTGTGGTGAATCAGTTCTTTTCTCTGCTGCTAGAATGATGATTTGATTGAGTGCTTGAACTTACCAACTACAACAGATCTATAAAATAGATACTGGATTATACTGGATTTGCTGAAAATATTTGTGCTAACTTTATTTATTTTCTTCTACTTATAAAAATATATTTGGAACATGTGTAGATGCTTTTGGCACCTGAATAAGAAGGTAGTCCATGAGTACTAGAAAATATGCTTTGTTTGAATGGTGTCACCATTGATGGCTCCTTTTCTCTCATTTTCCTGCCTTTTTTTTAGTGCAGATGCGGAGAAGCATGGTCAAACTTGAGCTCTATCGGAAGTTTACCAATTCCCTTGCAGTTTTTGTGTTGCTTTCTATTGGTTGGATTGGCTATGAGGTAGTACATTTTTTTGTTTTGTTCATAGAATAATATTTCATATGCTCATAGCTTCATAAACCTTGACAACAGATGAAAACTTGTCTAATGTTCCCATTCATATAGTTTTCTGATTAATGGCTCATGTTGGCTCAGCTCTACTTCAATGCAAGTGACCCATTAAGTGAGCTATGGCAATTTGCCTGGATAATTCCGGCTTTCTGGACTCTGCTTGCATTCTCTCTCTTGGTGGTGATATGTGTTCTTTGGGCTCCTTCAAGTAACCCGACTAGGTATTTTCTATGATACTAATGCCTTCATTTTTATTGTCTGCTAATTCATAGAAGTATCTAAACAAACTGTTTGGATAGTAATGGTTTTAATCACCTGGCAGAGCCAGATGCTTGCAACAAGATACCTAACTGACTAATCTATCAGAACTTCAAACATAAATATGAGTTTACTGGGCTCATTAAGAGTGTCGTAACTTTGAAGATACATTTTAATTTTACAAATGTACTAACTCACACATTGCATACAAAGGGGGCTGGTCTGGGTGTGGAGCACCTTTTTTTTAGTAATAATTTTGTTCTCAAAGAAATACATGCATGTGCACACCAAGGACCAAAGAAGTATAAACCCCACACACTGTAGACTTGAAGGGCCTAACTTTTGGAGGGGCAATGGAGACTTGTAAGTAGGGATGGCAATGGATAACCTATCCAATGGATATCCATGGAGACCCGACCCAAATACATGGGGTTTCTCCATTTTTTTCTCCCTGTTGGGTTGGGTAGGTGATATTGTTTAAATTCCCATCGGGAATGGGTAGCCGCTCATTTCCCCATATCCCTGTCTACAACTAGGTTTTTCATTCTCACTCTCTCTCATTCTCTCACTCCAAATTTCCTCAGATTCTTCAAGCTTACTGGGATTCATGACTTTGTAATAAATTTTCTTATGAACCAAACAAACTTTCCATGCAATCAATTATTCAAAATCAAAATAAAATACAGAATAGACAATAAAGCATAGTAATTGACAAACCAAACCACATGGAAAGAAAAGAAAACAAACCAAACATTGAAATTAAATTAAAAGTAGTAATAAATTTCATAAATGAATCAAAATACAGAGACCAATCATGTGTTCACACTTTCTCCAAATCCTTGCATTCCAATAATTTTCTATCTCAAGAAAACCAAAAGGAAAAAAAAGAACATTTATATACAAGTCAAATAATTCAGAAACAATAATAATAATAAGAAAATCAATGAAACATGTACTGTTGATGATGATCTCTGTTTCTCTGATCAATCGATCTTAACACTATTTGTTCTCTATCCTTCCATGGCATCGAAATGAGATCCTTTGATCATCATAACCTTAAACTCCACAAAATTGATCGTTCCATAGCTATCACAATCGACTCCACTAATCATCTTCCTCCACTCACCGATCAAGCATTCATTGCCCAGGCTCTGAAGCACCTTCATCAATTCCTCGGTAGAGATCGATCCATTTACACGTCAAGCTCGATTCTCTTCCTCCACAAGCTTTATCTCTCTATATCTACAACTTTACTTTCTCTCTCTACAAGGGATTGACAGTGTAATCGTGGGTTTGGTTGCTGAGAACCCATATCTCCCTCCCTCTTTCCCCTCTTCTTTCTTCCTTTACAAATCCAGAACCTTCCTTCTCTCCTCCTTTACAAATCCAGAACCCTTGTCCTTATTGTTAGATTATACCAGGGATTGTGGATGATCTTGATCTGGGAGTTTTTTTTTTTTTTTTTTTTTTTTTTGGTAATATTTTAAGTTGATTATATGGGACAAAACTTGACTTAATTGGATACAAGTTTATTGATAGGCAGCTTTTGGTAGTCCATACTAACATTTTTTTTTTTTTTTGCTTTTTTTTTCGGGAGGGGGTGTTACTAAAAATTTGTTTGGTTGTCTTAAGATTGTAAATTTGATTACTTATAACATTTTTTTTTTTTGCTTTTTTTTTTTTTTGGGTTACTAAAAACTTGTTTGGTTGTCTTATAAATCTTTAAAATAAGCTTTTTAATTAATTAATTAATATGTATTTGATTTTGTTGTTGAATCAAAAAAATTAAAAAATAAAAGTTAATGTGTATTTGGCTTTGGCTGTGAACCTTGAGGGGGAAAAAAAGGTCAAATTGGGTTGGGAAAAACCCAAACCCATTAGGGGATGGGGAATGGAGAATGGGAAAAAATTATAATAGGGGAATGGGAATGGGGATGAGAAATTAATATTCACCCCATTACCTCCCATTGCCATCCCTACTTGTAAGTCTCACTTGGGATGGAATACACAAACCATGTGAAATAAATTATTTTGTTTTGTTTTGTTTTTCATATAGAAATGTGCTTTTCTGAAGATGGACCAAATAAAACTCTTTTGTTGTTACTATATAAATTTGGTGGGTGGGAATTTCAGGTATGCATATGCAGGAGACACAGCAGATGACTTTGATGAGGAGGCTATCTCACTGACAAGTGCAGTGAAGGTATCTGGTGCAACGGAGCATGTAACTGGGCTAAGTGAAGATCTTGAGGAGGATAAGCGAGAATAATTGTCGAAGCTTTTCTCGTAAGCTATGTTTGATTTGTATGGCAATTTGCCTTTTCTTCAGTGTTGTACAATCCGTGCTGCATGTACGAAGTGGTATACTACAATCAACTATGATGAACTCGATAGTAAAATCATACGGCTCAGTTGTAATTGTCTGATCACTTTTCTTTAAGCTATGGGAGAGAAATTTACTTATGTTTGATCTCTTGTGTATGGAATCATGACCATATACAAGTGCAAGGAAGGTTACTCGTTTTTCTTATCATGAGCTGTGTGCGCTTCTTCTTGTTACTGCAATCAAAGTAGACAGGCCTGTTTTTATTTATTTATTTTTTTTCCAAGAAGCTTTATATTCCTCGAATGCTACTGCTACATTTTGGTTCTTTGTAAACTGCAAACCTTTTTACCTCACGTCTCTGTTTCAAAATGCGGTATATAAATTTTGGGTTTATTGTTGAAACCTTATTGTTTTTGAGTTTTCACCTCCGTCATGGTTGGTGTGTTGGTGTCATCTTGCACTTGCAGACGACATTCAAGTTTGCAGCCGACTGATTTTACATTCCACCTTAAGCAATAAAATTTTAGAGTAAAGCTATATTTTCTTCATCATATTTGAAGATTACAGAATGTCATGCCAGGAAACATGCAACCGAATCTCAACCCCTCTGTACTAGGTTCCACATGGGACCTCTCGAAACAATGAAAACAACTATATTTTTTGAGTGAATTCCACTTGGATCATCATGTGTTTTATTCTAATTATTTGAGTCATTCATCTTATAACATGTTTATTAGATTGATTCAATAATTATAATCTTATGATTTTTTTTTTATTAAATGTCTTTAAAAAAATAGATTACAAGTATATTAAAATTAATTGTTCATTATTTAAAGACTAATCAGTGTGTTTGGTTTGAGTTTTTTAAAAATTGAGTTTTTTTATTTTCGTATTTTTTTGTTTTTAGTGAATATTTTTAAAATTTTAAACACTTTTTTTTTTTAGATGCACCTTACTTAGATGTATCTAAAAGTAAAAAAATTGTGAAAAAATATTTTAAAAAACTAATAAATACATAAAAATTCAAAAAATGTAATGAATTTTCATTTTTTTTAAATATTTTTTATATTTTTGGTATTTAGTGAATTTTTAGAAGTTTTTTTTCACAATTTTTTTACTTTTTAGATATATTTATGTTAGGTATGTCTAAAAATTAAAAAAAAAATTATTTAAAATATTAAAAAAATTCAATAAAAATACAAAAAATATAAAAAATAAGAAAGTAGAATTTTTTAAAAAGTAATTTTGAAAAATTCCAAACAAGCAAGGTGTTATCAGATCAAATCCTATAAAATATATTTGGAAATTCACTCATTTGTCTTTAGTAAGCTTTGAATTCTCCTCCCATCTCTACCTTGTTGGAGTTATCAAATGTTGATATTTTGGCTTGATTGATAATTTAGCAGGCATAGGAGTTTACCATGAATTGATTATTAGATTGGATTGATTTTGGAGTGTGGTTTGATTAATATTGGGCAAATTAGATTAACTCTCTTTATAATTTAGGACTTGTGTTATTTTAGTTCTTGACTTTTTAATTGTGATACATTTGACTTTAAATTTTGAATTTTATTCCAAATAAGAATAATTGAAGATATCATTACTTAATTTCAAAGGCAAAATCGTCAATTTGATAAAATATAAACTAATTTGACAAAAATAAATGTCAAAAAAATATTTTTAAATTTTAAAAATTATTTTTACCCACCATTGATAAAATTATGTAAAATTGATAAATCTTTTAAGCATTTATTTATTTAACCAAATTAATTTTTATTATGTGTTTAGATGATAATCATGTAATGTGTGGTTGTTAGGTTTTTAACGTGTAATTGATATATTTAATATATGAAATGTCTTTAGTTTTGAATTTTTTGATTTAATAGATTGGTTTAATAATGATATCAAAGTTGTCGACATATTTGACTTTTGAAAAAATAAAAACTAATTTAATGAAAATAAAAACCATCATCCATTACATAATTATCATCCAAACACATAATAAAAATTAATTTGGTAAAATAAATAAACAAATAAATATGTAAAAGATTTATCAATTTTATATAATTTTATCTTTGGTGGGTAGAAATAATTTTAAAAATTCAAAAATATTTTTTTGATATTTATTTTTAGGGAAAATTACCAATAGGTCCTACTTTTGAGACTTATTATCCATTAAGTCCTATTGATAAATTTATCAAGTGATAAATTTATCATAATTTTGATATAATGACATTAATTTTTTTTTTAATAAAGATAAATGGACTGAAACTAATATAAATAATGTGAAAACATCCATATAAACGGAGAAAAATATATATTTTAAGGTAAAAGATATCACAACATTATTTTTTTTATCCATATGACTAACAAATTATATTTAATATATGAAATATTTTTAATGTGTTATTGATATATTTAATATATGAAATGTTTTTAGTTTTGAATTTTTTGATTTAATAGATTGGTTTAATAATGATATCAAAGTTGTCGCTATATTTGACTTTTGAAAAAATAAAAACTAATTTAATAAAAATAAAAACCATCACCCATTACATAATTATCATCCAAACACATAAAATAAATAAACAAATAAATATGTAAAAGATTTATCAATTTTATATAATTTTATCTTTGGCGGGTAGAAATAATTTTAAAAATTCGAAAATATTTTTTTGATATTTATTTTTGTCAAATTAATTTATATTTTATCAAATTTACAATTTTACTTTTGAAATTGAGTAATGATATCTTTAATTGTCTTTATTTGGAACAAGATTCAAAATTTACTGTCAAATGTGTAACAATTGAAAAGTTAAGGATTAAAGTGATACAAATCCTAAACTATAAGAACCTTTAGTATAATTTATCCATTAATATATATATATATATATACACATATATATATTGGCTGGGGGTGGTTTGATTAATTAAACACCCAAATTCCTATTAGATGTCAACTTTGTGGCTTTTAGTTTTTGTACCACCACATTTTCATTAATTTTTTAAAAAAATGTTTGAGGTCCCGAAATTATTTGGCTCGAAATTAGCTCAAAACTCAAAACGACGTCGTTTTGAATTTTCTTATCGGTAACATGTAATAAAATTTTTTTATCGATAACATGTAATAAAATTCTCTTACCGGTAAGATATATTACAATTCTCTTACCGGTAAAATAATCCAAAATAACGTCGTTTTGGATTCGAGACAAATTCAAGTTTGAAATATTCGGACCATGTACCAGCGTTGAATTTTTTATTATGTGGTTGTTGATAGTAACCCTCTTTAATAATACACTAGAGAACAAAAGGCAGACTTTTGATCAGATGATTGAAAGTTAAATTTAAGGGGTTGTTTGGGGTGTTCTAAATAAGTGTACTTTTTATCTTTTTAGACTAAAAAATTGAGGTTGAAAATATAGATGTTTGGATTAACTTTTTGACTTTTTATAAAAAAATATATAATAAAAAATTATAAAAATTAATTTTAATTTGTAGGGAAAAATTTAAATTGAGAGTTGTGCAGCCGTAATTGTTGACTTTTGATAAATAATGTTAACTTTTTAACTTTTTAAGTAATTTTTTGACTTTTTAACTTTTTTATAAGTTGCTAAACTTAGCCCAAATCTTATCATCCGATTCCTTCCCCATTATTTTTTTATGGGATATCATGAGTTTTGAGTTTATTTTTATGTATGTTTTATACGAGCAGTTATTCGGTGCTATGAAATGGAATCAATAACTGGGTGTCTCATGTAATTTTATAATTTTGTATTAGATAATAAAAAAATAACAGAAAATATACAATATAATTAGTATAAGACATGTGTCACGTAACGATAAATAGTAAAAAATATCTTCTTACATAAAATTTACACATATAATAAATAGTAAAAAAATGTTTGATGTCAGTACAGTACCACAACAAACATGGAATAATTTTTCGATGAAGACTGAGGAAACTTCTTCTGAACAGAAAAGAAGTGCATGAGGCACCCAACCTAACCTCTCCACGTGTACTTCGATATGACACGTCACGCCTTGGAATCATCTTCAATGACAATGCTTTGATAAAAGTTCATGCAATTGATTTGTCTTTTCAAATCATATTTATAATTAGATTTATTTTCAGTTTTTTTATTATTTTGGGGATAATTTGGTGTCTGTTTTTCTACTATAAACAGATTAAAATCCCAATAGAAAATTGAAATTGTTTTTATGTTTTTTATTTATTTTTGGGGGAAAAATGTCATATCATTGGATTGGAGTGCGTTCCACGTTTGATCATCCAAACACAAACAAACAGAGACTTACATCTAGGAACATGTTGATTTAATAATTTTTTATTATTTGATTAAAATATGAATTAAAAAAATTAATATATTTAGAATGATTTTTTAATTTTTTATCAAAAGATGTACAAAAAGTAAAAAAAAAATCTTTAATTTTTTAGTATAAATTATTAATTTTTTGACTTTTTAACTAAAATGAACAATTTCTAAACGAAGTCTTAAAAGTACACGTCGCCAACGTGCCAAATGGCTCGGCTCGGCTCGGCTCTGCTCATTTGGTAAACGAGCCAAGCTTGAGCTTGTATAAACTTGGCTCGTTTATCTTTATTTAAATATATAATAAATATATTAATTCTATATTAAATAATGGTATAATACATTATTTATATATCAAATAATATAAATAATATTAAAAAAATCTTATCGAGCCGAATCGAGCTGAGCTCGAGTTTCATTAATATTAATGAGCCGATCCGAGCTTGAGCCTAGTTACTTATCGAACCAAACTCAAACTTAATAAATGAGCTCGATAAGTAAACGAGCCAGACTCGAGCTCAGAAAAAATCGGCTTGTATAGCGATCCCGGGATTCCCTTGCTGTATTTGTCGTATTCTGGACTCGGTTCCGTGGAATTGGTAGTTGTATCTATCTTGTTATCGTCCTTTAATTCCATTTGTTTGAGTTTTAGGATGTGTTGGGCATGTTTCGAGCAGGTGGGTTAAACCTTGGTCTAAAATCTTGTTGCCAGGTTTTTGGTCATTCCGCTCGAGCGGGCCTTCTTGCGCTCCAGCGGAGATTACACACTCCCAATATTTCGTGTCCCTGCAAAACTTCTACAGGTGTGATTTCTATGCTCGAGCAGATTTCCTGCGGTCGAGCGGGTCGCGCTCGAGCAGGCTTGTTAGCGCTCGAGCGGTTAGTACTGTCCTGGTGAAAGTTCTGGGAGGGGGAAACTTGCGCTCGAGCGGACTGGTTTTTCACGCTCGAGCGGATGTACTTTATTCTTGTGTCTTGGCGCTCGAGCGGACTTAGTTTTTTGTTTTTGATGCTTGAGCGTTGTATTTTCCGCTCGAGCGGAAGTGTCGTATATCAGAAGGCAGTCTGGCATTTTTGAATCACTTTTTACATTCACTCTCTCTCTCTCTCTTACTTTCTAAAAAGATATTTTTTTTGGGTGAATAACCTTGAGCGATGTTACATGGGGGTAATGCCACAGTTTGGTTAATGAAATAAATTGTGTAATTGACTCATTCAAGATACTTTGGTCAGGATTTTTCGTGGAAAAATGTTTGAGGGCCCGAAATTATTTAGCTCGAAATTGGCTCGAAACTCAAAACAACGTTGTTTTGGATTCTCTTATCGGTAACATGTAATAAATTTTTTTTACTGATAACATGTAATAAAATTCTCTTACCGATAAGATATATTATAATTCTCTTACCGGTAAAATAATCTAAAATAACGTCGTTTTAAATTCGAGACAAATTTAAATTTGAAATGTTCGAACCCTCTAGCAGCGTTCAATTTTTTATTACGTGGTTGTTGACAGTAACCCTCTTTAATAATACACTAGACAACAAAAGGCAGACTTTTGATCAGATGATTGAAAGTTAAAATTAAATCTTATCATCCGATTCCTTCCCCATTTTTTTTTTATGGGATATCATGAGTTTTGAGTTTATTTTTATGTATGTTTTATACGAGCAGTTATTCGGTGCTATGAAATGGAATCAATAACTGGGTGTCTCATGCAATTTTATAATTTTGTATTAGATAATAAAAAAATAACAAAAAATATATAGTATAATTAGTATAAGACATGTGTCACGTAATGATAAATAGTAAAAAATATCTTCTTACATAAAATTTACACAAATAATAAATAGTAAAAAAATGTTTGATGTCAGTACAGTACCACAACAAACATGGAATAATTTTTCGATGAAGACTGAGCAAACTTCTTTGAACAGAAAAGAAGTGCATGAGGCACCCAACCTAACTTCTCCACGTGTACTTCGATATGACACGTCACGCCTTGGAATCATCTTCAATTACAATGCTTTGATAAAAGTTCATGCAATTGATTTGTCTTTTCAAATCATATTTATAATTAGATTTTATTTTCAGTTTTTTTTATTTGAGTAACAATCACCTTGCGTGTTTTCACTTTTTAAAAAATATTTAATTTTTTATTTTTTATATTTTTTTGTTTTTATTAAATTTTTTTAATATTTTAAGTAATTTTTTTACTTTTTAGACACACTTAACATAAATACACTTAAAAAGTAAAAAAATTATAAAAAAATTTTTTTAAAAATTCACTAAATACCAAAAATATAAAAAAAAATACAAGAATTCAGTATATTTTTTATATTTTTATGTATTTATTAATTTTTTAAAATATTTTTTCATAAATTTTTTATTTTTTAGATACATCTAATTAAAGTGCATCTAAAAAAAATATTTAAAATTTAAAAAATATTCACTAAAAATAAATAAAAAAAACACGAAAATCAAAAAAGTCAATTTTTAAAAAATTTAATCCAAAAAATTCAAACTAAACACACAAAATATTATTTTGGGGATAATTTGGTGTCTGTTTTTCTACTAAATAAACAGATTAAAATCCCAAAAGAAAATTGAAATTGTTTTTATTTTTTTTATTTATTTTTGGGGGAAAAATTTCATATCATTGGATTGGAGTGTGTTCCGCGTTTGATCATCCAAACACAAACAAACATAGGAACAGGTTAATTTAGTAATGTTTTGATTATTTGACTAAAATATAAATTAAAAAAATTAATATATTTGGGATGATTTTTTAATTTTTTTACGAAAAAATGTGCAAAAAATAGAGAGAAAAGAGAATTTTTGACTTTTTGGTATGAATTGTTAACTTTTTGACTAATTTAATAATTTTTTTTGACTTTTTGACTAAAATAGAGGGTTCCAAAGGAAGCCTGAAAAGTACATGTCGCCAACGTGCCAAATGGCTCGGCTCGGCTCGGCAGGTGTTAGTTAATTCTATCTGCAAAAATCCAATCGGACCCACATTTAAGAAGACTCACAAAAGCACTTCGAATGGTAACCGCACTAGATCACATCCTCTAGGTTTTTGGGCCCACTTTTTCATCCCCATACCATCTGAACCATTGATCGTCTACTCATTTGGTCCTTGAAATCCACAAATCCAAAACCAATAATAAAAAAAAAAGGTTATTATTTTTTATATATACATATACATATACATATACCCCCAAAGCTGTTGAAGTAGTTAACACGGCTTACTATTCAACTTCTTTTGTTTTCTCTCTCATATTCTTTTCTTCCAAACACCCCGTCTCTTCCACTCTCTGTCTATATAATACATTCAGCTGAAAACCCAGGAAAATTACGGAGGAAAAAAGTGATTTGGGTATTACTTAAATTCGAGTAAAAACCAAGGAAAGTGCGAGAAAACATGAAGGAAAATCTGGGAATTTTTGTGCTCGTTTGGTTTCTTCTATATGGGACTTGCTTGGGTAGGTTTGTAGTGGAGAAGAACAGCTTGAAGGTGACTTCACCAGAGTCACTGAAAGGTGTTTATGAATGTGCTATTGGGAACTTTGGGGTTCCCCAATATGGAGGAACCATGGTTGGGATTGCGGTTTACCCAGAAACTAATCAAGATGGATGCAAGAGCTTCGATGATGATGTCAACTTCAAATCCAAGCCTGGTGGCTTCCCCATCTTTGTTCTTCTTGATCGAGGAGGTAAAATAATAATAGTAATAAATTTAATTTTCATTTCTTTTGAATTAAATTTATCAGTTTTTAACTCTCAGTTTTAGTGATGCCGTCACAAAAAATGTTCAGACTTGTGATTTATGTCATTGTATACTTTGTTGACTACTGATTTGTGGTAATTGGTTGTCTTGTTTACTTATGGTTTTAAAATGATAGAGGCCTATTTGGTGCAGCTTCTAGTAAGCTTAAAGTTGATAATCAGCTAAAAGCATCTCTACCCTGATTTCCCAATAATCAATTTTAAAGTTTTTTTCTTTTAAAAAAAAAGAACTTAAGAAGCAGAAGAAGAAGAAGATGGACTACTGTTTTGCGGTAATTGGTTATTTTGTTTGCTTGATTACATATTACTTATTTAGTTTTATAATGATAGAGAACAAGTTTGTTTATTGGATATGGTTGTATGATATGTTTATGATGCATGACAATATGTACCAAAGTCGATGTCTGTGCGATTTAATTGTCTTTGCTATGTGAAATCTTGAAATGATTACAAACAAAAACACACACACACACATATAGCCCATGTAGGTTTCAATACGCAGGCGAACAAAATTTTATTTTTATTTTTGAACTCAGATAACAAGTCGTGAGTTGTTGTGACTAACAAGTCGTGTGAAATAAGAAAAGATTGTACCCAGTGCACAAAGCTTCTACTTATACTAATAGTAGGGTTTGGGAGAGGTAGTAAATACTGAAATGAATAAAAAAAGCAAACCGAAACCTGTGTGATACCACAGTCTCCTTAAAATAGATTCACCTCCTTACCATGGGTGCTGGAGGTATATTAACGTCTGTCTCCCAGGATATAACAGTTTAGAACCCACTAACGCAGAAGCACCCTCTGCTTAGCTCTAGCGAACTGCCAATGGCAGCATTCTCTCACACAGGAAGAATATATTATAGGAGCAAACTGACTATAATATGAGAACAAAAATTTCTGTACTCAAACCAAAGAGGATGGTCTCCTTTTATACACAATGGGAAAAAAGAATAAGAGAACTAAGATTATTTTTGTGATAATATTCACAATGTTGAGCATGCCCTTATATAGGCATCTTTGGCAAGGCCATGTGTATGTCATGGTTTCCAAAACCATGTGTCTCTCATGGTTAGGCCATGTGTGTCTCATGACACTATTAAGGCCATGTGTTCCTCATGGTCAGGGCATGTGTTTCTCATGGTTAGACCATATGTAAAATGCTCAATCATCATTCTCAATCTCCCATTCATGAGGCCAACTTTATAAGATAATTTTCATTCAATTCTCAAACCAAAAAACCATACCCTTTTTTTTTTTTTTTTTTTTTTGAGGTGTTTATTTTTGTTATTTGAACCCCATGTCACAAGGCTGCCTGTGGATAGCACTTGCCATTGCACAAAGTCACAATATGTATGTGCATTGTTATCATCTTCGCCAACATAATGTTTTATTTATAAATTGTTGTTGTTGCAGATTGTTACTTCACCTTGAAGGCATGGAATGCACAGAATGCTGGAGCAGCAGCTATTCTAGTTGAGGATGACAGGGTTGAAACTTTGATCACCATGGACATCCCAGAAGATGAGGTTAAACGGGCAGATTATCTGCAAAATATAAGCATTCCGCTTACTACTCAACTTCTTTTGTTTTCTCTCTCATACAAGAACGCTTTATCTAGTGGTGAGCTGGTTAAGATAAACCTTGATTGGAGAGAGTCTCTTCCTCATCCTGATGAACGGGTTGAGTATGAGTTATGGACGAATAGCAATGATGAGTGTGGGCCTAAATGTGATAGTCAGATCAATTTTGTCAAGAACTTCAAAGGAGCAGCTCAGATTCTTGAAAAGAAAGGGTACACTCAATTTACCCCACACTACATAACTTGGTATTGCCCAAAGACTTTTGTCTCGAGCAAACAGTGCGAGTCTCAGTGCATCAACCATGGAAGGTATTGTGCTCCTGATCCAGAGCAGGACTTCAGTATAGGGTATAATGGGAAGGATGTTGTCATTCAGAATTTGCGGCAAGCTTGCCTTTTCAAGGTGGCCAATGAAAGTGGAAAACCATGGCTTTGGTGGGACTATGTGACTGATTTTGCAATCCGTTGCCCAATGAAGGAGAAGAAGTACACCAATGATTGCGCGAATGAAGTTATCAAATCACTTGGTAGGTTATCGATTTACATTTTCTGAATGTTTCAGTCTGTTATTATGTTTGTATGTGCACAAGCTTATGTTACTTTGTTCAAATGAGGTGAACTGTTCTTGAAATATTATGAAAATCCCAAAGTAGAACTGCATATTATTTAATAATTCCTTCATTATATGTTTTTCCTTGGCAGAACTGCATAGTATCTAATAATTTGTAACAGATTAGTAATTTTGGATGATGCTTTCTCACTCCTCTTCATCAAATTGTACCTTTGTATTATTTGTGTAATCAACTGTGGCAATATATGCTTGAGTAGTCGTTGGTTGTAGTGGTAATTTTCTGTGTGCCCTTCCTCAACTTAGATATATTCTTTAGTATTTTTATGATATTTTTGTCAAATTAAGTCAGTTGTCCTTAGTTGTGAGTCCAAATTTCCACAAATTGTGTCTAGTTGGGACTTTCCTCAAAATTTAGGGAAATTCTTTGAAACCAATTTCCTTCATAGACATATGGATTCTGAAGTAAGCGCCTTTAGATTTTAGTTATCTTGGATGATTTTCTAGTGGGTACAATAAGGAGGCATAAATTTGTAGACATGGATTCTGAAGTCAGCAGTTTTAGATTCCCTTTTATTTAACTTGGCTGATTTTTTAATGGAAATGAGGCTGACATAAATAAATCTGTTTACACTCTCACTATTTTGGTAGCTGCTGATTTGTTGGGGTATGATCAGATAAGTTCCATTCATCTTCTATGATCAATATATTGTATATTCTAACAAAGTTTTTCTTTCTTTCTTGTGGTAAACCTTAAAGGGGTTGATGTCGAGCAGATAGACAAATGTATAGGGGATACTGACGCAAACGTAGATAACCTGGTTCTCAAGGCTGAGCAGGAGGCACAGGTAATAAACTAAGAGAACATTCTTCTGATAATTCTTGTAGCCTTGTGTTCTGGCAATACTTTTCTTTTTGTAGTAGAAGCACTTTTTTTTTTCATTGATAGCAACATTGCATCGTCTTGGAAATGTGGTCTCAGATTGGCAATGGCTCGCGTGGGGATGTGACCATATTGCCAACTCTTGTCATAAACAACCAACAGTATAGAGGTTTTAAGAAATTGTATTATATTATTTCAATTGCTATCTGATTCCATGAATCTTCTTCTGAAGGGTATTTCCTTCTTGTTTCAGGTAAGCTGGCCAAGGGTGCAGTTCTAAAAGCCATATGTTCAGGTTTCAAGGAGACCACAGAGCCTATGATTTGCTTAAGTGAAGGTTATCATTATAAGCCTTTTCCTTTAATATGGAAGTTAAACACCAGAACAATTATTTACCCTTTCAATTTTTGGAAATTGAATGGCCATCTCCCACCATGGGGGTTTTATTATGATTTCACAACAAAGTGAAAGCATGAGTTGCCAGAAGGTCACTCAAGTGGTTGGACTCTAGAAGTTAGTGTGATTTCAAACAGGAATTATAAGGTTATTGAAATTGCTGAGTCAGTAGTAGTTTGTGCCTAGAGAGGTGAATAGGTCAAACAATAAAAGTTATGTTTCTAATTAAAAATTACCAAGCTATTAATTAATCAGATTCAATGATATAGTGTGCTTTGCAAAGGATTCAATCCACAATAAATATAAAAATGAGATACACATGGGATATTACGTGGAAATATTGAGGAAAACTCTGACAAAAGCTCGGACACACCAATTCAATAAAGCCACATTGAATCAAAAGGACAAGATAGAATGACACTAGGAATTACAATTTACAACCCTTACCCAGTTCACCTAGCTCTTTGATTCTTCCACAATGCCATGCATTTGTTCTCCACTCCACATGGTTCTGATCCTCTCAGCTTCTTTTGATCCAACATTCCACCATGAAGCTCCTTACTTTGATCTCAGTTCGCAAACGGCTCCATTACCAAAGGCCAAGGGATGGATGTGTCATGCACGTTGTATGAGGGTTCTGTACAAAAAAACTCCTTCTAGAACATGTAGGATGATGAAACAGTGCAAACAATGTTCTTGGATCCAGGCAAGCATGGTTTTCACGATTGTATCCTTGAAGAAGAAAAGTAAGGCTTTCCAACTCTCACAAGGACTCTTAAAGGCTCCTAGGTCGTGTGTGTGTGTATCCCTAATAGATGAGAAAATAAAATTTATCTAGGTTTTGGAGAAAGGAAACACATTTTGACCAGAACTCAACATACCTGGCATTTTCAGCATGCTTTGAGCATAGCTCTCAGTAGGTTTGCAGACAGCTTTGCACTGCTCTTTGGAGCATAGCTCCCAGGATCTATGCTAAAAAAACATTTTAAAAGTAAAAATCAGATAAATGTAGGGTATAAAAACTAGGTTATTTTGGTAAAAAAAAACCACTCTTCAAATGTGCCAATTCGAATGTCAACCTGAATCTAACCCTTATAACCATACCCAAAACACAAAATAACTCAACAATTTGTCACACGGAAATTACCAACTTAACCTCAACTTCATGTAACAGTTATAACCAGTATTCTAAAGTTATAACCTTGTTAGTTTGCATGAGATTAATATATGGGAATTAAGTTGTACTCACTCTACCAGTATGGTTGTTTGATTCATGTTCAATGGAGAAAGTTGTCTGCATTAGTTGAGCAACTTTAAACTATCAGTGACTTGTTAAACTTCCTTTGTTAGATATGATTGCAGTTTTTATATTTTAGCATTGGATCCGGTTCTTTGTGAATGATTAAGTTCAACAATCAATCATATATATACATATAAATACACACGAACTATGCATGTTTTTTATGGTTGGAACTTATCTCTTGTATTTTTCTTTGCAGATATAGAAACAAATGAGTGTCTAGAAAACAATGGTGGATGCTGGCAAGATAGGGTTGCTAACATCACTGCATGCCGGGTGTGTAACCATTTGTCAGTTGAATGCTTGTGGGAAAAGTTTTTCTTGTCTTTTTTGACTTAAATATGTTGGGTCTCTTCTAGTTTTTTCTATGATATTTAGAAACTTCTTGTAGGATACTTTTCGAGGGAGAGTATGTGAATGCCCAATTGTGGAGGGTGTAAAGTTTGTTGGTAATGGTTATACTCACTGTGAAGGTAAGTATTTATTCAAATTACAAAGTTTTGCTAAAACACACATGAGTCGACAAACAAATCTAGCTGGGGAAATCATTTATAGATTAGTTGTGGCACCAATTTCACAGAGTTTTAGTTAAATTAAGTAAAAATGTGAAGGCTTCAGGACATTGTATCTAGATGCCTGTTAACCCACATTCACACACTGGATGGATGAGGAGACATGCTTTTGTGAGTAATCTTAAGTGCCATCAGTTGCATAGAAAAAATTTCACCATGTCTTGGTATCTAGCATGATACTTCACGAGGGAATTCTATTTTCCATGTCACTTTAGATGAGGCTAGAGAAGGTTTTTTTGGAGAAAATATCAAAACAGTTGTAATTTTGAAGTTGCTGTTTTTAGTGGTTGTGCTCTTATTAACAGATCTCATAATATCTGTTTTTTTTTTTTTTTTTTTTTTGGTTATGATATTGTAAGAACAAGGGGGCATCTTACACTTTGAACTAGGTTGAAATTATACACAATGTCATTTTGTACTGTTTATATTTACATTATATTTTGCATATTTGGTTTAACAGCTTCAGGTCCTTTACGGTGTGAGTTAAATAATGGAGGCTGTTGGAAGGAGACCCAGGATGGAAGGACCTATTCTGCCTGCATTGTAAGGGTTGAACCTCACTAGATAATCCAGTGCCCCTCTCTCCACCCACATCCCCACACCTCTCTTATCTATCAGAGTTGATTCATAGAATGACACTTGGTTATTTTTAAATGGGCACTGACTATGGAGTGGTACTTGATGGACTTTTCAGGATGACCATTCAAAACGTTGCGAGTGTCCCCCGGGATTCAAAGGTGATGGAGTCAACACTTGTGAAGGTACACCACCACATCACTGGTTCTTTGTTTTTACTGGTTAGTGTCATGAAATGTCAGAAAATAACTGGGTTCTATGATTATTAGGTTTGTCAAGCCATCAACATTAGTTATATATTTTCTTGGGCATGTTATTGGGAAGCCAAGTTTGGGGCTTTTTGTGGCTATTTTAGTCACAAAAAACAAAATAGGCTTTTTAGCCCAATAAGACAAAACATCACATCCAACCCATAATCATTACATTCTTCCTCTCACAAAATAGCCAAAAAAGCCGAAAGCTCTTCCCAAATGAGACTTCTTAGCCCTAGGCTAAAATAGCCAAAAAGCCAACCCACTGCCCAAACGAATCCAGTTTTCCTTCTCAAAAAAATTTATGGTAGATCTACCGGATGAACCTGGTTGAAAATCCAAGTTTAGGGCTTTTAGAATCTTTTTATTTTTTTTCTTCTTATTTGTGTACCCTTTATATCTTTTATGTTTAGAGGTTGATGGGATTTTTTTCCTGTTTTGAAAACTGTATATAATCTAGACATATAGCTGGGATCCTTTGAATTTTTTAGTATCCTGTAGTGTTGCTGACAGTCATGGTTTTGTAGATGATAAACATTAGTCGGGTTCAATGATTCAATCTTTTGACTTCTTTGATTCATGTCTTCCAGATATTGATGAATGCAAAGAAAAGTCGGCTTGCCAATGCCCAGGTTGCAACTGCAAGAATACCTGGGGCAGTTATGGGTGCAGCTGTGGTGGCAATTTATTTTACATGCGAGAACATGACACTTGCATAGGTGAGTCTGAGCATCTCTCTCATCTTTGCTGAAAGAACTAGTAATTAGTCTAATTTTATTGTGGGATTATCATTATACAGCTGTTGGAATAAACCAAACTAAGCCTTGTGTCTCACTCAAGTAAGGTTGGCTACATGATTCCTTTTTCACTACACTGCTTTGTCAAGGGCTATATACTCAGTCAAATTAAATAAATTCATGTCCTTTTTTCTGTTACTACTGCATCCCATGTCAATTTGGGTCTTCCCTTCCTCACAAGCATGAAGCTCTCTTCTTGATGCCTTGTTATCCTTGCTTGTTTCAGCACCTAAGTTTATCTATTGGGAAGATGCAGGTAAATCTGTTAAGACACAGGTTAGCTGGGGCTTTATTTGGGTTGTTATTCTCAGTTTGGCTGCTGCTGGAGTTGGTGGTTATGCACTTTACAAGTACAGAATCCGGGTATGCCTTTATTGCTTTGTTATATTAAACACTTCTGTTCCTTCATGTCAGGCATCTAGTTGGATTTTTGTTATATCTATTCTAACGAGGTGTGTCTAAATTTGGTCTCGTCTTAAAAACTGCCAAATCTTCCAGCCCAATTGCAAGTAAACCTAGCCAAAGATCTTATGTGGTTTGATTACCTTTTCAGAAAGAACAAAAGTCATCAATAAACAGAGGCAACAAAAATATAAAATAAAAGAGGAGCAGAATGTTTCATTTCTCCTAATAAACTTCATGGGTTTATGAATGAGTATTCAAGAAATAGGGATGAGATGAGACCATGTGGGCCTTGGGATATGAAGAATAAAGTAGTGCAATGTAGATCCTTAAATTATCTGAACGAATTCAGTAATTGATAGAGAGCCTAAAGCAGGTTTTAACTCGAATGGAGCACAAAGTGGGGAAGAGGAGATTGACAAAGCAAATACCGGACACAGGATTTTATAGTTAATCTTAATGAACCTGGTGATAATGGATTTGCAAATAGTTGCTTAGATTTGATCGTTTTATCCTCTTACAAACTGGATCAATGAGTAATTATCCTCTCTTCCCGGAACATCACATTGGTTGTGTGCCCACCGATAAAAGGGGATTATGTGTTTATATGGTCTGAAAATAGGAATAATAATATGGGCAAATAAAAAAACACCATTGATCTGTTCCGGACTAATGTGATAATTCTTAGGATCAATGAGCTTCAGATCAAAGAGTTAAATTAGATCATTTTCACTTGTATTGATTTGTGATTGGAACTCAATTCTTTGCAGAGCTACATGGACTCAGAGATTCGGGCTATCATGGCGCAATACATGCCCTTGGATAATCAAGGGGAGGTCCCTAACCATCTTCCCCATGGGGATATATGAAGATGATGAAGGTGAGGTGCTGCACTCAAAATTGGGGAGGAAAGATCCACCACCAGCATCAAGAATATTTTCCTATCCAATGCTGGTGACTTTGTTGCATCGGCATTTCTCCATCTTTTCTATGGAATTTGTTCTCACTCGTATTTATGTACAAAAATCTGAACTAGAGCACACATAAGTTCCCAACATGGCATGATGAATTTAGTGTAGTTTCTTTCTTCATCTATGTTGCGTCTTTTTTCTTCTTTTTTGTTGGTTATATAACATACATGGTTGCAGTTCAAAGGATGAAAAATAGATCTTCATTCCACCCTCCTGTATTCACTCTTGATTTCCAGATTATTTTTGTGTGGTACTGAATACCATGACATAAGATGGTATTGACGATGTTATGTTTGATTTGCGGATGGGATAAGGCAGGATAAATTATCCAAGAGAAGGTAATTTTGTCATTTTGTGATGAAATCCTTACTAGACAAAAAACCTGCAATTGCGAGAACAATTCTTGGGATTAGTTATTCAGGTCATAAAATGTGAACCAAACATGAGAGAATTTTATTCCGTGATAACATAATCATTCCTTCTTTATTTGTGAATCAATTATAAATACATATATATGATAGTTGTTTGATTTGGTTAGATGTGTCAGAGAATGAGATAAATGATGGAGATATTTTCTACCGTTGAATCCAGCAAGGGCCAAATCCCATTGGAAAGGTGGGATTAGTTATCCTTAAGATAATTCTCTATAGTTAAATCCTGAAATTAGCTTTGTTTAAAGCAAATAATTGACATGGGGTTAAGGAGAAACATGTTTGCCAAGTTGATTGTCAGCTCATGCAATCATATGATGGTCATTGCAGCTGATTAACTTAATCTGATTCATCTGATTGAATACTTTACCCACACAGATTCATGTGTCACAATCACATTTCAAACAAATGTTGGAAATAAACAGACCACTATTATTAAATTTCCCATATACAAGGGGAGGACAAGACGAAATTATTTCATAACATCATCATCACATCCTGTTTGACTAAAAATATAAAGTGAAAATTCAATCTCAATATCCAGCCTCCAACAACATTAGGGCAATCATAACTATGAATTTCAAATTCTTCAAAAGTCCCTTCCAAGTCCTGACCTAAACATCTTCTATACAGTGACTTCTTCCATCAGACAGATTGTGCTTGCTCGATGGAGACATAAACCAATCAAGCCTAGCATTTCTCAAGAGTTGTAAACGTGTCAACCACGCTAGCCTAGTATAGGAGAGCATTAATTTTGTTCCAAGGTTGATGCATTTGTCTGTCCGCCATTCAATGTGATCCTATAAAGATAGAACACCACCATTGCACCACTGCACAGGGCAAGCAAGTTGTCAGATAAACCCATGATTGTCCAGTGACATGAAAGGTCAATTCAAGGAAGAATTGAATGCTAATTCAGTTTAGCAGGTTTTGAATCAGTTTTAGGTGACTGTCTAATGTTGTGGGATTGAAGTACATATTCTGGTACCACACGTTTTTGCCTTTGAGCTTGTAATTTGAAATATCAAGAACTCAATGCATGTGTATGTGCACTTGTGTGTGTGTGTGTGTGTGTGTGTGTGTGTGAGTGTGTGTGTGTGTGTGTGTGTGTGAGAGAGAGAGAGAGAGAGAGAGAGAGAAAGAGAGAGATAGAGCCTTCTCAATGGCAGGATAAGCAAGTAAAACACTCAAAAGCAGGATCTACACTTAAAAGAGGAAATCCAAATACCACCATGGAATCACAAAATGCTTGATATCACAATACACACACATTGTTAAGTCTATCTATGCCAAAATATTATTAGTTGATCTTTTGCCTTTTCCAGATATATAACAACATCAAACAGCATAGTTGAACTACCTCAAAGCATATACGCAATCACCTTCAAGTACACAGAAAACTTCTGATGAAGATTAGTCCAAAGTTTTGTCCATCGACTACTGAAGTTTTTAACGGATTCTGCAGTTAATCTAAGCTTCTTTTTTGGCAGGGGACTCGGATGTGTAGGAAGATGTGGCCTTTGATTCTCTTGTATATTACACGGATCATTTGTGGGAGTAGGATCTAAGGTTTTTTGATGGTATAAAAGTCCCCTTGTTTATGGGAGTTGAGAATTATCAATAGTTCCCTCAAGCAATTCATTGATTTTTTATGTGTCTAGTGTTTAAACTGAAAAGATAGGAAAACTCTGTCCTTCTACAAGAACACATGTAAGCCTCCATTGGATTCAAAATGGTTTTAATAACATTATTAATAAACATTAAGAATCTCAAGTACCTGAACAGAGATGTAAAGCAACTGGCAAATGAAGGTCTCTACAAGGTTTAAAGAAGAGAGAAACATCAGAAAATATCACATTTAAGTTATGCTTCTAAGGCATTAATAAAACAGTAGGCGAACTATAGCTAGATAGTCTTACCTTAAACAGCAGCCGTATCTCCCTTAAAAATAATATGCTGGCTATTGCTGCAGAGTCAACAATACAATCAATCAAATTCAATCACAGCTGTAACTGAAAGGGAATTGTACATATGTGATGGCTGGATCATTATAATTTGAAGGAGCACACTCTCGTTAAACTATGAATAAGTTGCTATTGTTATAGAAGTTATTCAACTGAATGATCAATTAACTCCCTTAATGGATCACATATCTCACAAATACATGGTTTAGGTAGTAGATGACCCCATCATGCACTTCAAGGCTAGAAGGAATGACTCTCCTCTTTTCCATGATCTCAGACTTGAAACACTTAAGGCCAAAAGAGTACCACCAAGGATAACACCGAACCTAATGGCAGAAATGCTTCCAGTTAGCATGAAGGAAAGAAAACCACCAAATGAAAGAAGGATACCTGCAAAGCATAAGAATTGTGATTACTGAAACTAAAAGTGCTTTACATCATCTTCTACTTAATATAAATACAAGACAAGGAATAGTGTCGAAGCATAAACCACTGAAAGTGCTTTAAGATATTTCTACCGTAAATATTCATGCTTATACATGATGCATACCATATGGTATCCCAAGGTAAAAGTCATGCAAGTTAGAAATTTCCTTGACATCATCAGTTGAGGAAGCAAATATTTCAACGATATCCTTCACTGGTTCAGGGGATTTCTCCCCGCCAATTTCCTTTGCAATCACAATCAAATCATATCTTGCCTTTTCTGCTTGAATTTTCAACTGCTCTGAAGTTTCTTTTAAAATGACCATTGCTTTCTTGGAGTATAGCTCATATGCTTCTTCTGATAAACCCTGCATCTTTAAAGCTTGTTCTTTGAAAGAGACTGGTGTCTGTTTCTATGTTTCTTGTGATTCTTCAGCTCCCACTTTAAGATCACTATTCTCCTTCTCCATGTCAATTTCTAAAGGCTTCTAAGAATCAAATGTATAAACGACCATCAAATTGATATACACTTGGGAATGTAATCAAATCAATGAGAAGAAATTGAACAACATATCCATGTAATTGTAAATGTAAATGTAATTGTAATTGTAACATAAAAAGGAGTGTATTGTAACTAATTTCATGTATATAAAAATATATACTAATATGCATATATTAGTTGTCGTGTTCATGCTGTGTTGTCTCCTGTTATTTCATGTTGCCTCCTATTATTTTGAAAATTACAGTGTTAGTGTGTCAACATCATGTTGTATCCAAGTCTTCTTAGCCCCGGTAACACTTCCTTCAATTAAAAAGAAGTTTTTGACAACCCATTTCCATAAGTCATGTGGAAATGTTATTTACAAATTAGATCAGTCTAACAAAAGCCACTATGCTTTTCCATCCATATTCCACCCTTTGCCCCTGGAAGGGTAAAATTGTATTTCATCAACCTTAAGATCTCATGCACTTGAGTCAAAAAAGTGAAAGTTTATACTTGATTATGCAACAATGAGCAAACTATTGCTTGATAAAAAAGGATGCAATGCAACATTTTCTCCCCGCAAAACAGATGTTGAATTGAGTGATGTTATTTTGCATTGCCAAGGTCCAAGGGTTTACTCCACAATCCAAAGTGACAAATGGAAACACACTACTATTACACCATCAGAATACAAAATAATAACTTGAAAAAGATCAATGTCCTAAACTAATGGACCAGAACTAGAATCTTCCCCCAACAATATACAAGCCAGCAAACCCCAAATCACTGCAATATGTATGTTATATACTAGTAAAACATATGTTCCCAACAGGAAATGCAAAATACCTAACTTTTTGCATTTTCCTTCTCTTTACAAAGTCGCTAAAATACTTGAAAATCAAATTGGAATTCACGCGCCAACGTTTTGCTGAACTTGAACCTGTAAAAGTACTAAAAATGTACATTGACTAGTGCACCTGACCAAATCTCAATTTTGACATAACATTTTATTACTGAATCCCATTTTCTTTAATGCTGCCTTAGAAACTAAAATTTATTGAGGAAAAAGTAAAGGAAACAGAATCACTTGTGCTTTGTCACTTTTTATGGGTCATCAAACAAAACAAACAAACCAAAAGAATTTTTTTGTTAGTCTAAACAAACAAAAGCAAAGATTTTAGCTTCTCATGGTCATTTTTTATTTTCATTTTTCTTTTCTTTCCCTCAAGAAAACATAAAACTTACCAAGACTGAAGAATACCAATATCAGAAAACATCATCCTGAACCACATTTTTAGATGCACCACCCAATGAATTTTATTTAATTCTCCCAAAATCTCACTCATTCCTATTATAGTAATATTATTGAGAAAAACAATCTAACAATTTATCAAGGCCATTTCTTTGGCAAACACAAATTCAGAAACTGAAAATTTCAACAATAACAACAACAAAAAAAACGCTCAAAGCAATTCTCATATGAATCAGATAAGCAACAGTCCAACACTAGAACACACTTAAATGCATAAATTGCTCAAAATTTCAATCTACTTACCGATTCCTCGTGCGAAGCTGCGAATGCGAAAACCGACCAGTTCCTGAAGCCATGACGACGGAGAGAGCCAACTTGAGTTTGGAGAGAGTCACAAAACAGAAAAATAAACTGAAAAATAAAACAGGATAGGAGACACGGTATGGTCGTGTCAGACCTATGTAGCAGACAGTTTATGGGGTCATGTCGGACCGTTGTAGCAGACAGTTTACGGGGTCATGTCGGACCGTTGTAGCAGACACTGTGTGGTCGTGTCAGACCGATGTAGAAGACAGTTTACGGGGTCACGTCGGACCGTTGTAGCAGCTGACCGGAATCAATGTCGGGACAGTTTATGGGGTCATGTCGGACCGTTGTAGCAGACACTGTGTGGTCGTGAAATTTATTCAAAAAAATATAATGTGGGATGGAAATTCATTTCAAGTATAGATTT